AGTCAGTGAGGTGTTTGGCATCCCACACTTCATGGAGAAATACAGATGGATCATGGGTGTTTTTGAAATCTGGAATATTAGGATATATTCTGCAGTCATGGATTGATTCCTGGGTGTCCATCTACCATGGGCTATTAAGGAAGAAGTGTGGACAGAGAAGTATATGAATGTGTTCTCCACTGTGTTACCTGAAAATAAGATGGGAGATAATAGAAGAAGGAAAAAACAAAGGGAGAAACCCAGCAAACCCAAAGCAGCTAGAGTGTCTGAGAATAGAACTCTAGTCTTTCATAGAAATACACAAATCTTCCCCTTCAATATCAAGATTGTCATAGCACAGAAAAATTCCACAGATTGGGAGGCAGCATAGTTATGGCTTGCTAAAGATTACTGTTATAAGGTAACAAGGAGCCAAACTTATCCTGGGGTCAGAAGGACCAAGACTTTTTGACCATTGCTTCATGCCGCCAGGGGCGGGCAATTATTGCTGGAGGGGGGCCACTTAACAAGTTTCAGGGGCAACATAGGTAGCCATGCCCCTTAACAGTTGCCCCGCCCCCTAGTTGACCTATTGGAACTGGAAGTCCTGCCCCCTAACCCCATACCTTTGCCACCAGAAGTCCATCCCCTTGCCCCCCAGAAATACTCCTTTTGGGAGGAGGGTTTGCCATCTTAGAACCAGAAAAAAACCAAATCATACACTAGAAGTCACACACCTACTATAATATATTTTAATTTTATTACAAAAAATACTTGTCATGATTTGTGTTTGTGTACTGTATATAGAAGGGATTGCATAATAACTCAAAAATAAAGTCTCTTATATTGTGTATGGGGTGTGTGTATGGTGGGGTGTGTGGTGGGGGCACGGTATGTTGGGTGTATGTATATGTTGATGGGGGTTGTGGGAGCAAGGTGTGGGTGGGTGTGTGAAGTTTGTGGGGTGCAGGGACCCCTCTTCCCATGCTCCCCAATGTGGCAGCAGCAGCAGGTGGAGGAGGGGTGGGAAGGGACTCAGGGAGCTTGCGCCCAGCACAGGTACCGGTGCCTGACAGGGCACGGCTCCAGGCAGCACTGTGCACGGGAGTGAGGAGTGCAGCCTGCCCAGCTGCCTCTATCACGGAGGCTCCACATCGTGTGCCTGCAGCTCCCTCCCTCTCACAGGGAAGCCCTGCACTGGACTCTGCAGGGAAGCAGGGGACAGGGCTCCCTCCACTCTGGGCTGAGTCCAGGGACCTGTGCAGCGGGGGAGGGGAAGGCAGTGAGCTCCAGCACGGGGCTTTCCCTGCTGTGAGTGCAGGGGCTGCAGGCATGCCAGGGTAGAGGCGGCAGCAGGAGAAAACTGGGAACCATGAGGACTGGGCTGGCTCCTGCTGTGTTCTGTGATCCTGGCATGGCAGCTGGGAACCACGCGTTGTGGTACAGCAGGGCCAGGCCCTCCCAGCAGTGTGCTGTTCCTGGCTGCAATGCCAGGATCACAGAACACAGCAGGAGTCAGCCCAGCCCCACGGTTCCCAGCTGGCTCCTGCTACCGCTGGCCCTGATTCTTGGGGTCCCCCCTGCTCCCACCCGCTGCCACTTCCCTCTCTCCCCCTGCACCTGCCCCCGCTGTCTTTCCCTCGCTGCTTTCTTTTCCTGCCCTCCCTACCCACCTCCATGACTCCCCACCCACAGCTCCAGCACCACGCCAGCTGAGAACTGTGTGATGCTGGCTGGGCCTGGCTGGCTCTTTTTGCATGGTGATCTTCCCTGTCCTCCACCCATTCTTACCTGAATTTCACTCTCCAGCGGAGGGAACAGCCCCAGGCTCCCAGGCCAGAAGTTTCTGCTAAGTCAAAAGCTTCTGGCTGGGAGTGGGGGGCCACTGGGTTCTGCTGCTGGCTTCCCCTGTCTCTTTCTGCCTCTGGCTCCTGTCATCTATGACAGGCAGCCGGGGCAGATAAATATACATTTAAAAAAAATGTTAGGAGCCCAGCAGGCTGGAT